GGGGGGGGGGGCTATTGGAAAGGGGAGGTTGGAGGGGTTCGCGGCCATTCGAGTCTCCTGGCTGGCGAGCGGGGTCTGTGGCCGCGCGAGGGGACACTGGAGGGTCTTTCCATGGGGTGCGACGAAAGTCTGAGGCTCAGTTGCCTGGGGTCTAGTGCAGCCCATTCACATCTCCAGCCTTACGAGCGCATTCGCGAGCGCCGTCCCGTCAGCGACATCCGCCATCGCCTTCGCTTCTCCGCTGTTGCGCCACGCGGCTGCGGGCGAGGGTGTATGCATTACCTCTCGACGCGAACTGTTTCCCGTCCTTCTGACCGGTGATGGACTCCAGTTGTCTGCGCTTCAACATCCCGTCTCTGCGTTCTGCGTCAGCGAGTGGCCACCGTCGTATGCGCTGAGCCCTTGTCGAACGGTTGCACCGTCGTCTGCGCTTTGCCGTCGTCTAAGAATTGTGCCTCGTCGAAGAACTGTGACCTTTCAAAGAGCTGCGCCATCGTGGGCGTTGTCCCCTCGCCAAGGTAAAGTGATGTTCTGCCTGCCCACGTGTCGGTCGTCGGGCATGTTTGCAGGCGCATGGGAGCAGCCGCGTCGTGCCACCTGTTTGAAGTTGCGGGGACGACGGGAACGGATGTCGCTGACATTGGGCCAGATGGTTTTTGTATGCCCCTTTGATTCCCGCTTGTTCTTTCCTCGCGAGATGCCCCATGATTCTTACTTGCCATCATCATCATCATCGCCATCGTCATCACCATCATCATCACCACCAACATCATCGTCATCATCATCATCATCGCCATCATCATTACCACCATCATCACCACCATCATCATCGTCATCATCATCATCATCATCATCATCATCATCATCAACATCATCATCATTTTCATCATCATCATCCTCATCATCATAATCATCATCATCATCATCAACAACATCATCATCAACATCATCAACGTCATCAACATCACCAACATCATTAGCGGCATCGTCGCCGTCATAAAAATTACCACCATCGTCGCCTTCGTCATCGTCGTCATCATCAACAGCATAATCCTCATCGCTATCATCGTCGTCATCATCTTCGTCGTCATCATCATCATCATCATCATCATCATCGTCGTCGTCATCATCTTCGCCGTCATCATCATCATCATCATGGACATCATCGTCGTCATCGTCGTGTTGATGACGACGATGACGACAATGATGTTGATGATGATGATGATGATGACGCAGATGCTGACGGCGACGATGATGATGATGAAGATGATGATGCTGACGATGATGACGAAGATGATGACGATGATGATAACAATGATGATGATGCTGTTGATAATGACGACGATGACGAAGGCGACGATGGTGGTGCTTTTTATGACGGAGACGATGCCGCTGATTATGTTGATGATGTTCGTCATTGCACTTAGCCACGGGATGATGATGAAGACGAATCTGACAGGCATCATTGCACACGGTAGAGACCCTAGTATATATGTATACACGTGGTTTCCATATTTCAAACACGATTCGAACACGGTCGCTACTTGTGTTATAAGAACCCTTGTCAAAATTCAAGGGATCGGGACGCCGCTGCCACAATGTTTGCGCATTCAAGCATATAACTGTTGGCGGAAAAACAAGAACAAGTACATATGTGCGATGGCTGCACTGCTGGTTAAGTTCAAAGTTTTCGAAGAGGTAGAAATAGGTTTCATGCTGGTGGGACACACCTATACAGACGTTGACGCTGCTTTCAGTGTTTTCTCGAAGAAATTGAAAGACATAGACGCTTATACTATGGACGAGTTCTTCGAGCTCATAGAGCAATCACACAAAAAACCTCCCAAATGTATTTTCCTCGATACGATGGAAGATTGGATTAGTATCGTACACCCGTGCGTTGCGTCAGACATTACCGGTATTTCGAAACTGCACTTGCTTAAATTTTTGATGGTTGGAGATAATCCGGGCATGTTGTACAAGGAGTTTTGCGATGACGATGAATGGTTGCCCGAGGAAGGTCCGATTTATTGGTTCAATCAAAMCCCCGATGAGAGCTATGCAGCTCCTTCGTGGCCGTTTGACCCGCCTCATGTGCAACCCCTTCCTCGAAATGACTATTTGAATGGCAAAAATGGTGTTGTTCGATTCTGCGAGCTGCTGGAGAGTAGGCGGTCGACGTGGTGCACTTACAATGACCATGAGGTGAGTAGGAGAGAAAGAGCTTTGTGTTACTGGAAGGAGTTTATCAAACATGGCGATGAGATCATCGCCAACGGGTTGTTCTCACAACCTCAAGAAAGTTTCTGGCCACGACCACGGCTTCTCCAAAGCGATCAACAACCTTCTCCTCGAAGTGTCAACATCGACGACATGGAACCCCTATTTGTTGGACGAAGAAAAAATCGCCCAAAGACTAGTTTCGACCCCCTCGTGCATGTTGATGTGGGCACTTTTCTTATCCTTCGCCCCTCCGACGCTGATATGTCCAGCGGCGTTCCAATTTGGGTGGGCAAAGCTCTTTCTCAGGTGGTTGTTGATTATAATTCGCAGAATTATAATCAAGTGTTAGTGGAATATTGGGTGCCGACTGGGAGAGCTAAGTTGCTCAAACAACTGTATGAGAACGCATGGGAAAAACGATCGAAAATGACTGACCAGACACAATGGCAAGATGCTGACTCGATCGCTTTTGGTTGAGAGAGAGGTCCGAGGTACAAGACCATTCACGACTGGACTTGTCATTCCTTCCACTGTTCAACTGAATGCTGAAGCTGCACTTCTAGATCAGAGTCCTTCTTGTGAAGGGAGTGCAGATGGAGGGGACAAGGGCGACGAGTGTACGTCCGCCGGATAAAGTGAGGGAGTGAGATTTTCGAAAATAATTGTTTGGACGAACGAGAATTCAGAAGGGAGTATATTATTTTTGCGATGATTCTGCGTGGCGAATTTTTTTAACGGTCCACGGTTAAATTTTTTAAGATGGTTGGTGATGGTTCGGCAATTTTCGAAGTTAAGTTTATCATGAAGGCGATTTTTCTACTATTTCCACATTTCATTTTCATTTGTATTTGCATTTCATGTCTTGTGTAGGGAGTGCGACAGGAGTCATGGACCATCGGCATGATTATGCATGTCCCAATCACCCTTGTGCATGCGGATTCCGTTGTTCGGGAGGCGATACCGAAAACGACCCGTGGATGACCGTCGTCCCCTTCTTTGACAAGCCTATCGATGCGTGGTCCGAGGCAGAATGGGATAGAGCCATCTTGGCAAGGAAATGCCCATGGCATAAGGACTACAAATTTGCTTCCGCGATGGAGTGGGGAAGTCTGATCAAAGTACCTCATTATGCCATTGGTGTCACACAACTTCCGTCCCTGAGCGCCTCGCTCAGGCAGGAAGAGAATAATCGGTTTTGCCTTCGCCTGAACAACGTAACGAGGTCACCTCGGGTGTGGTGTGCGAACTTGAAACAAGAGTTGTTGGACTATGCATCCTACAATCCGTTTTTGGAAGTATATCCGCTGCGTGGTGCCGGGTTACAGCCAAAAGATCTGTCATATTGTTGCATACGGTTGTCTGTGGCCGGTTCTGACTTCTGTAGAGCGTTGTGTGTGGCATATTCAAACCGAAAGCGGACTTTGGTAGACGCTGTAGTGCTAGTTCCTTGCAACAACCTTAGAATCTATGGTTGCAACATGGGGAGTTTGCGCCTTCTGTGCAAGAACGGACAATCCGATTTGGAGATTGTCAGTCGAATTGATGAGGTTCATAAGTGGCATGAGGTAGAGCAAGTGACATGTTGTGTGCGTGACGCCATCGGTAAGTCCTTGGCAGGTGCCTGTAGGTTTGTAAGGATGAAGTACATTTCGGTGTTCTCGAGGGTGGTTACGAAGGGACAGCCACAAACCCTTGTTTTCGGGTCGTCTATGAATGCCTTATATGGGTTTGGTTCTAGAGGGACGCGGGGACATCGATAGGAGCTTCAAATTTTGTAAATGATAGCGTTTTTGAAAGTTTACATTGTTGCGGCTCGTAGCGTTTCATTTAGACGTAGTTCAATGTACAGTTGGCTTGTAGCGTTTAATGTAGACGTACTTCAATCTTGCATTTGCGATTTCTTGCACGTGTCGGTACAATTTTGAACTTTAGTTACCAGTACAATTTTTGACTTTTAGTTTTTCATGGGTACGACATTTCTTGAAGTGAGACAGAATCCATGGTACTCACGTGAATTTCAGTTTCATATGACAATGTCATATCGGTTAATGATTTTTTGTCAAAGTGCGCCAGAATCCATACATAAACCATCTAGTTTCGCCTTCACACAATGTCATGTGTAGTATGTCTGATTCAAGTGCATTTCAATGTATGACAATGGCATGTCAGTTTCGTCTTTAAAGTCATATAAATTGTTGAAGTGTGATAGAGTCCAAAATTATCGAAGTGTCAGAGTGTTGGAATTCATCCTTAAATCACACCGAACAGACTGAGTGTCGCGTCTTTTAATAAGTATGTAGTACATAAATTATCGAAGTGCGATGGAACCCACAGTCACTGTACTTAAACCATAATCTCGTTTGTCGTGTCATTCGTTTGTCGTGTATTCGTTAAACTTTGTCGTGATTAGTATACATTTAATAGAGTTAAAGCAAAAATTATCGAAGTGCTACGGAATCCATACTAGACTATTAGTACTTAAACCATCCATGTGCTTGCCGTAAATGTCGCACTTCAAGTGAGTTTCAATAAATTAAGGGAAGTCACAATGTCATCTAAAAGAGTTTCGACTCAATGTTGAATCAAAATTGAGCAAGGTGTAAAGAAATCGAGAGTTCAACAATTCATGTTGTAACCGTAACGACTTTTAAGTTACAAAATTGATGGAAGTGCAATGGAATCCACACTTAATCCATCATGATGAGTAAGTGATTGCCTTGAATCTCCATTCTTGATTCAATTTATGGCCTCTCAATGGCCAATGGAACTAGATTCCCGAAAGCAGGCCGACGGAAAAGACGAACGACATAGAGGCACTRATAGAAAACTGACGACGATGGTGGTGGAACACGACGTTGTTGGTTCTGTCTCCTTCGTTTATCTGTACTTGTAAGTTATGTTCGCAAACTTTGTGCGAACGACACAAATAAGCGCAGTGAAACGAACGAGATAAAAGACAGAAAAAGAGATAAAGAGATAGGGAGAGAGAGACAGAGCGACAWAGAGGCGATCTCCGCCTTCATCACACGACCCAATCAAACGTTACGATCAAATGGCCACGAACTTCATAGACTCCCTATCACACATCGAACTCACGGAGAGAAATCCCTGTTGGATCACACGACACTGCTCGTTCGCGGCGACTGAACCCAATGTAATCGCTACCGCGCGAATCCCGACTACAGATCGCGTACATGTGTGGGCATTCCGACGGTCTATGCAAACCCAGCATGGCAGGACTTTTCAGGTCGGTGGAGATGGCGAGAGAAAGAGAGAGAGGGTGAAAGGGAGCGAGAGAGAGCGAGAGAGGGAGAGAGATAGAGAAAGAGAGCGAGAGCGAGAGCGAGAGAGAGAGAGGGAGAGAGAGAGAGAGAGAGAGAGAGAGAGAGAGAGAGAGAGAGAGAGAGAGAGAGAGAGAGAGAGAGAGAGAGAG